ACAAAAAATTGTTTTTTTCCTGGAATGAACTGAATGTAAAACGTGCCTCGTACTAAAATTAAATTCAGGAATTTAAGGTATATCGCGTATTTTTAAATTGTCGCGTATATTTGTAGAAAAAAAATAGCTGAAATATTATCAGACTCAAGGAGAAATATTTACAAGAGCAAAATTAACGTTTGATTTTAAGAATTCAATAATGAATTATGATGAAGAGTATCATGTACGCGCGTCTTATTATGAAATATCATTTTCACAACAACTGTCTTCAACAGGTATGCGGATATTGGTGATGCTGCTGCTTGACACTCTTCCTATGCTGGGCAACGTCTTGTTGTTGTGCTTCTTCGTCTTCTTCATATTTGGTATCGTCGGCGTGCAACTATGGGAGGGCATATTACGCCAACGCTGCTTCCTCAAGGCTCTGCCCAATGTCAAGTATCCCGAGTAAGTCGGCGAGAATTTTCAGATTCACGGATTTTTTGTTGACTACTTTTTTCTTTTTATAAATGTTTTACTTCGATTCTTCACGTTATTGCGTCTTACGCTGCATCACATCTCGTTTGTTTCTTCTCTGTCTGTCTTTCGATTGCTGTGCAGTTTGAAGTATTTCGTTGCTGATTATCGTGATTTCCGCGAGATATGCGAAACTCAACAATTTATATTCGACAATTTATCGTTAACTAGATATTTTTCGCGTAGTCCAAACTTGATGAGTAATAAAGCATCGTATTCAGCGTAAAATAATTCCTCGATTTTGGCAACTTCCATTTAAGATTCATCGTAAAAACAGCATATTTAGTCAAGATTATCATTAGCCGTATTCAAAGAAACACTTTCGCCTTTGTGTAAAGATTTTGGAGATTCATCTTAAGAACTTTGCAATAGCATATGTCAGAATATAATAAGCGACTACGCAAAACGATTAGGAGAAGATCATTTTACATTAGTATCAGATACACTTGCGTTTACCATGTTCAAAGCATGCTACTGCACAAAAAGGTCTATTACATAAGTCTACGTACGCAATTTTTTGCTTGGCAGTTTTTTGATAGATAGAATATTCGATCTTTTGATGCAATTTATTTTCATCACCTAAGACGGCACGGGTTTTTTCGAGATTTTAGTTATGGAAGAACTTGCGTCGATAAATAACTTGATCATGCGATTCTTTCGCATAAAATCTAATTTTAATTTAATACATTCAGATTGCATGGCGAACAGCTCGAGTTGTCGCAAAGCATCGCTTGCCGAGTTTTTCTTGCTGTAAATTTAACGCTCCACTCTTTTTTCCCTTGCTCACTGTCTTTCGCCAATTCTTCTCTACGCTAGTCCTTTGCGCTCGATTCGCTTTTACCAAACGATCGATATTTCCTCAGAATACAGTGCAAACTTCGTGACTCGTGCTCACTCCGCCCGGCTTATCACGAAATTACTCATAAAATATCATCGTCTCGAATTTAATCATGGAGACTTGATCATAGATTAATTAAACATTCTTAATGCTTATTTACATAATATTGCGTTTATTATAAATAAAAATATACCACAAATAGTCATAGAACACATATTTTTTATACTTTTTATATGTTTTTTTATAGGATTATTTATAATTATGTTTTAATGTCTTATACATGTATAATATCTATTTAAACATAAAAACAAGAACAATTATTTTTTTCTCAGTAGTATTTTTTGTTACTGGTAACTTGTTTGGAAAGCAAATCTAAACAAAAGAAGTTTTGGCATGAAGCAGCTCTGTAAGTGTCAAATATAAAAATTTTAGGATAAACAATTTTTCTTAATAACACTTGCATTACGTACACAACAATATAAAAAAGATATATAACTTTTATTTGTAACTTTTTAACTTATATTTGTTTTCTGTGCCATAATAATGAATAAATAATTTAAAAAATGGCAATCATTGTCTTTGTTCTATTGATTCTGATACATAAAACTTTTTTCAACATAAAAGTAATTTCAAAAGCACTGATACTTACAGCGGCTTTTTTGGCAAATCTTCAGATATCGATTTGAGATTGTTGTGGCGCGTTTTAGATGAGAAAAATATCGTCGGTAGCGAAAGGGACCATGAAAAGTTCGTGAAAAGCCCTGGATGGATCAGTATGTTCTACTTTCTGAACTTTTGCTTTACAGGAATATATCATGTTAGGCGATCTAAGACGCTCTGTCTCAATTTCTTCCCTCTTTCTCTTTCTTTCTCTCTCTCTCTCTCTCTCTCTTCTTTCTTCTTCTCCTCTTCTCCTACGTGAAAACTAAAAAAAATCTAGATGTAAGTACATCGACCCGAGGGAGGC